CTGAACGGTATGTGGAATGAAGTGGGCGGGCATCGGGAGGCCACTATGGCACGGGGCAAGCACTATGGGCAGTCTCTCTGAAGTGTACCTGGCGTATAAGACGACCCCCCACTCGGAGGCATATTTTTCAGGGCCAAAAAATCGTCTTATATGCCGGCAAATACCGTAAATCTCAAATCAGGTGTTAAACCAAGCCTGTTGTTGGGAGGAGGTAAGCCTGGAAAGGTTCTGGACAGCCAGCAACCATCTAATGGGGCAGTAAGGGAGCAAGGTGTCAACAGCAGCCTGTATTGACAGCTTAGCAAATCCTGAGGGGCTCAAACACAATCTTGATTCCTTGGACCCACTACGATGCGTCTTGGCACAGGTGATCCAGTAGCTGCGAATGTCCCAATGTCAGCACCTTGAAAGCTGTTTTTGCAGCTGTTCTCATGGAGAAGAAAGTAGGATGCAGGGAAATAAGGGTGGCAGGGCTCCAGAGAATGTGTTTTTGCACAAACCCAGCTTCACATTTATTGATTATGGCACTAGAGTTCTTAAGGACTGAATTCTGCTTGTAAATTAGACTGGCTAATTTAGACCCTAGGCCTTAGAAAATGATCATCAGTAAAGCAATTACATCTATTAAGTTAGGGGTGTGGACTTGGGCCAGTGAGCTGTGCCCCAGCTGAGCTGCCACTGAGATGCCAACAGGTGGCAGGATGGCTCAGCTGGTGAGAGTATGCGCTCCTAACAAGGTTGCCGGTTCAATTCCTGCATAGGATGGTGAGCTACGCCCCCTAGCAACTAAGACTGAACACGGCAGCTTGAGCTGAGCAGCCGCAAGCTGCCAACGGGCGGCTAAATGACAACTGGTCTTGGAGCTGAGCTTGCTGCGCCCTCCACAACTAAGGATGAAGGACAACAACTTGGCTGTTCCCCTTCCCCAATTTCCCAACACTGTTCCCCTTCCCTAATTCCCTAATAAAATCTTTAAAGAAAAAAACGTTAGGGGTATGGAGCCCCAGAAACTCAAATGGGAGTTTAAAGAACGCAGATCTAGGGAGAGGACAGTAGTAAAAACATAACTGGATTTTCAGTGTGCTAAATAAATATAGGCTAAAGGTTGGTTTGGGGTTTTTAAAAAGATTTTATTGGGGAATTGGGGGAGGGGAACAGCGTTGGGGAATCAGGGAAGGGGAACAGACAAGTTGCTGTCCTTTGGTTCTGCAGTCTACTTGTGGAGGATGTCACTTCACTGGCTCATGTTGGTATTATCATTGCGCTCTTCCTGGCTGAGGCAGATCAGTCACTGGCCACTGGACGGCAGGCAGCTCATGGCATCTCACAGCAGCCCACTGCAGCAGGGGCTGTAGCCTACGCCGTCGCCAGCCACTCACGGCAGCCCAGCTCCAGGTCGAGCTGTTGTTCATCTTAGCTGTAGAGGGTGCAGCGTCACTGGCCCACATGTGGGAATCGGATCTGCAGCCCTGTTGTTCAGAACTCACTGCACTTACCAACTGAGCCACTCGGCCGGCCTCTAAAGGTTGGTTTTGATTGGAGGAGGGGTTATACATTCTAATTAATCCTTGAAGCAAATCAGAACATCAAAGTTTTAGTTGTAGCAGACTACTAGATGCTCCCCCCAATATCTGTCCTCTCCATCTTCTATAGTCATAGGATTTGTAGCTGGTATGAATCCCAGGCTCCCTTATAAGCCAGGTGTGACCGACTAACTTCTGGTGAGGGGATGCAGACAGACGTGACATATCCATCGTCTGCCCTGTGTCCCTAAAGAGAAGGCACACGACGCCCTTCCCTCCCCTGTTGCCTTCCCTGTCTGCGGGCTGAACCGTGGGTAAGGATGTGGGTACAGGTGAGGGACCAGGAAGACAGGCTCCCGGGCTCCAAGATTCTGGTGTTGACTGCTCACCTACAGTTAGAGAAATAAACCGTCTTGGTTTAGTCATACTTATATTATCTGTCCTAGAGGTTGAATGTACCTTCTAAGAAGGGCAAGATACACTTGTTACAAAGGAAGGCTGTGCAACTCCCAGTAATTGACACAGTTTGGTAAGTTGTGGCTAGAGGCCGAGTCAGGCCTGCCATTCCTTTTTGCAAACAAAGTCTTACTGAAACAGCTGTGTTCATTCATGTGTAGGTTGTCTTAGGTCGCTTCCATACTATGTAACTTCAGAATCGAGGCATTGTGACAGAGACCGTATGGCCTGCAGAGCCTAAAACATTATCTGGGCTAAAGCAGAAAAATTGCCCCTGCTGTTAGAGGAAAAGAAAAAGAAAACCTGGTCACCCGGTACAAGATAGGGAAGAGGGAGAAACAGCAGCAAATGGGAAACCACAAAAAAAAGGACTTTAAAACAAGAAGTCAGGAATGTGACTAACTATGTCGGTGGTAAAAACAATGAGACTAGCTAACTGCTTGTTCTTCCTTCTTGCTGTAGGAGATGGACTGACTGGATGGATGACTGCAAAATCACGTCTGGCCAAAGCTTGATACAGTGACAGTAGTGTAGTTTTCCCCAGTGAAGATGGAGCCACGGCCATTTAACAAAGTGCTTAGACAGGCACAAGATGGCAGCTATTGATTTCTCACTATCTAAAGGTGATGTTTGAAGCTGGTAACCCATCTAGAAATCTCTACATTGATATACTTGAATGAAAATGTCCGCTTGCACATATCTGAATGAGCTTTACACCATCTTCTGACTCCATCTACATACTGTGCCTTTATCTTATTTCAGCTATATAGGTCCCCACTTGAAAATTAAATTTAAAAGCAGATTGTAAGGCAGAAGAAAAAAACTGGACTATTTATTGAAGTGCAACCTTGAGGCACAGTCTCACAGCAGACAGTATCGTATGGAGAGCAAGGAATGCAGACTCCTTAAACATGAAAAATTCCTCTCAGAATAGGGAACATCTTCATACTAAGGAAGTAACAGTCTTCCTGTTTAAAACCCAGATGGCACAGGAGGTTTTAGACTCAAGTTCTGTCCTCAAACAGTGGAAAAATCAGGCCTCAGGATGTGTTTGGTTCTTTTCAACTTGCTTTCCTTTTATTAAGAAGCAGGGAAAACCGTGGGCAGTTCAAAGGTGTAGAGGTGACTCAAGGGCCCCTGTCACCCAGTTTCCAAACTCAGGTCACTAAAGGCATCTTTTCTCTTTGCAAGAAGGAGAAAACTTTGAGCTGGTGGATAAAAACTTTGAGCTGGTGAATAAAAACTTTCTGTACCAGAAGCTGCTGAGTACATCCTGTGGGGAATGTCTATCTTCTGTTTTCCTTTTCCAGCTGTACGTAAGAGGCTGCATCAGGAGAGAACGGGGGTTTTTGAGCATAAAAAGTGAAAAACAGACTTAAAAATTCAACAGTTAAGTGTTTGCCTCTCCTAGACATACAGTCAGAATCTAAGGACTAACAAAGTCAAATCCCTTAGATAGTGCCCCAATAAACCAGGGAGCGCTTACATTTAGAAATGGGGCCTGCGTCTGTTATTCTCTGGGATGCTGGGTTTGCATCCCACAGATTTCCTTTACTCTGCAGTAACCCTTGTTAGTGTGAATTCTGGAGAAGCGTATGAACAAGAGTAATGAAGCACTAATAAACATTTCCTTGTCACCAAAAACTTTTCTGTTCCATCAAGGTTTAAATTTATCAGAAAAGAAAAATGACATCATTCAACATTAACTGCATGCCACACTAGGGCTGGGTCACCATCTGGTCACTGCAGTGTTGTGAATATTAAAAGCAGATAGAGGGCCGGCCGAGTGGCTCAGTTGGTTAAGAGCTCACTCAAGAGTTTGAGCTCTGAGCAACAGGGTCCCCGGTTTGATTCACAGCCCGAGCTGAGCTGCCAACAGGTGGCAGGATGGCTCAGCTAAAACAAACAAACAAAAAAAGCAGATACAAGTTGCCATGTAAGACCATCATTTGGAAATAAATTTTCCAGTAATGCCATTACTGTTTTGGAGTGGGCTTTTTAAGGATTTGTATCACAGTGGAAACAAGTTGAGTCACATCCACATCCACACACTCGTCCATACATGAATCAGTGAGCACAGGTTCTCACTAGGGGAAATATTTTCTTCCAGGAGCAGTCTAAAAAATGTAAGTAGTCAACTCTAAACTAATGGAAGAGAAAGCTCTAAAAACAGCAAACAATCCCGGACTATCTAATAACTCAGTCTTTCACAGCATCTTTCCACTGTTTTGCTTAAATGAATACATTAGGCCACTATTTTAATGCAGTTTATACACATTTTGGTGTAAATTTTTCCAGAGCAAGTCAGATATGCTTTCTTGGTCATAAAGCAAGATTGTCACAAGCCAGCATTACAAAAAGATTCTACTGTGTCGAAGTGTTCCAATCTTGAGCACATCCCAGCCAGGGTAACTCAGCAATACCTGGAATTGGTGGCTTCTACACTAGTAACATAATCCTTGGGGATACAGTTGAGAAGTGACTTTTTTTCAAAAGAATGTTTCATCCTGTTTTTTTAATATTTGAATTAAGTGATGGAAAGTTCTTGGTTAAAAAAGAAAGCTTTTTTTCCAAAAGACGCGTGGCATATCTGAAAGTCAGGCGGAATATTTGGTGTATTCAGAACGCCAAGTCACTCCTGACCTCACCTCTTGGGACCCAGCAGTAATTGCTGAGATGCTCGGAATTAAAGGGTCACAGCTCTTATTTTCCAACATTCCCATTAGCTGTGCTGACTGGGAACTTAAATATGGAGTGTCCTTTGGATGTTATCATATTTTCAGAACCTGAAGTCAAACCAAAATAAGCGTGTACTTCCAAAGACTGATTATCTGAAATGATCCCTCCTAAGTCATGGACATCAGTCAAGGGCATATAAATGAAAGATGAGTCCATTGTTATCTTTAAATCTCATTTTATTAAACCTCCAATGTGTTCTCCCAACACATCACTTCTAACAAAGCACAATTCATAGATTGGGGTTTAGTCCCCTTCCCCGATGAAGAATAGGTTGGCCAAATGCAGGAAATAGGAAGGAAAAGGAGGGGCCAGAATAACCCATAATAATAAACGGAGCAAATCAGAGCTGTAGTGAGGAAAGCGAATGGCATTTCATACGAAAAAGGAAATACATGGTGCTTAAGTGAAATGCTTATGTTAATTATAAAAAATCAGTTCATCCAGTAATTCTGAGGTGATGAGAGCATTAGAACCAATAATAAATTTGACTCAGTCAAGGAATGAAGTAGGTAGAAAGAGGCACTTTTAATCCAAAGGAAGAAAGAAATGGAGGACATAGCAAAAATACAGGTCTAGGGAAAAAAATAAATCCTGTCTTCCTTCAAGGACCAATCGATACAACAATTATAGAAATCATCAGCCAAGTTCTTCCAGACTGTTTAACAGGGAAGATTGTACTTCAACTTTTCCTTGGGGAAGAAGGCAACATCCTAGTAAAAACTTGTTCTAAATAGTACATTAATAAACCAATTTCGCCTAGCAGTGCAAAGAACACACAGAGGTGAGCAATGTCACTATAAAATTTCCCTTTAGGAGCAGTGAGAACAGGGCAAGAATCACCTTGAGTCCGCAGCTACTTTTTAACTTATTAAAGGCCTTGCAGATATACCTGAGAACAGTGCCAGCCTGAGCTTACCGTGGAGCAGCTGCCTGGCTAGGGCTCTTGTAAACAGTTCACACGGGAGGAACTTGACGACAAACTCGGTAGAATTAGTCTTGTATAAAGAAAAGGGGAGACGGGACGTACTAATATAGTAACAATGATTTCCAACTCTCCATGAAACACTGTATATGAGGTAAATAAAACAGTTTCAAGAAATGAGTATTCTGTAGACAGGGCCACTGTTAACTACATCCCTGTGGACTAGAATAGAAGGTTTTTCACTGGGCAGTCACCTGTCTGCTGAGCAAGAGGTGCCTCTGACTGTTCCTGGCCAACCCTCCTAATTGAGTTGGTGACCAAATTGAGTGTTGATGGGCCAAGCAATGCCTAGAGGTAGCCCCTACTTCCCTCTACAACCTATGGCACAGGCAGGGGAGCAGGAACAAAAGGGAACAGACTAGGAAAAAGGGGAAGAAGAGTAAAAAGTATTGTGTTGCCTTCAGATCAGTGGTGATTCCTGTCAGAGTGCCTATCATGTTTAATAGCAGGAATATTTAACAACTAAGAAAGCTAAGGAAAGATCTATGCCAGTGACAACTGCTCATTAACTATAAGGCATCTCATTCAGTGTTTAAAGGGAAAACATCCGGGATGATTAGAAAGTGACCAATGCTGGACATAATAACCTCTTCCAGTTATGTCCCTGGTAGAACACGCTCAGCTCGGACCAGCCTACGTGGTGCCTCTGCACATGTCAGTAAAGGCTCTCTTCTCCCAGAGCACACTGTGTGGTGAGCACAGGCTGCCCAGCTGTGTGCAGAGAACCTGCCAACACTGCTTTGCAGGGTCACAAAAATTGGTAAAAACTGGAAAAAGCATTAGAAACATGGAGTCAGAAAAATTCAAATCATTGCCTTGCCTCTCATGCTACGAGACTTTGGAAAAGTTCCCAAACTGATTGGTTTCCTTAATCTGCAAAGTGGGAATAACAGGCATATGAACAGCTATTAGAACTGTGAGGGTAAGAAAGGTAAGAGGACACTAGAACAATTTCGGGCAATTTGCAAAAGCTCAATTACTACTTGCTAAAGTTATAATTACCCACACTTCTTTTAGGAAAAGGATATTCTAATATGGAAAAAATATGTACCCTAAAGTCAAACCCATCTCACAGCTGAAGCTGAAGGGACGAATGGGTGTAACAGATTAACTACTAACTGCACCTCTTGGTCCTCCAGAGAAGAAACTTTCAGGCACCAAGTGTGTTGCTGAGACTTGAAGTGAAATGATGTTTGTGAGAGAATTGATTCAGGGGCTAGAAGCTGTTTTTATAAAGTGATCAGATAGTCTGCAGGCTCTCTTGGTGAAATATCACCTCAATTTTTTTGAAAAAGAAGCATGTGTAAAATCATATAAGAAACTAAGAAAAGGGGGGAAAAGTCTTATCTATAATACTTTTTATTTCTATAAAACACTCCAAATTTTTAAAATTCTATGTGATGACATTTGTCCACATGTCATATACCTTTTAAGGGAAAAGGCAAGGAGGACGCATTACTTTTATATTGGAATTATAGCACAAAGACAGGAAATTAATTTCCACAGAAAATTAATGGCAGCTATGGTTGCAAGTGGCTGCATTTGGTACAAGATAGGACATGGGTGAAAGGAGGCAGCAAGGATGGCTGGGTGGTGACTGTGAACCAGATGGTCAAGAGCTGTTTTTCTTCATCTGGAGAGCTTTCTAGAGGGCAGTGATGGTCATGAGTTCCCTCTAAGGCACTCTGTGATACTGATTTCTCTGGGCCCAGAATTACCTTTTATTACAGACAAGATAAATTAGCATTCTTTAATTCTGGTATTTTTCTCAAGAAACCACTTTTTTTTGCTAAGCAATCAGAAATCATCACGTAAATTCAGTAGAGCAGTTAAGAGTTCTAGACTTACTAACAAAAACTTTTTCTCAATAGTTCAAAGACGAGGAAAGATAAACGGTGATATTCTTAATTCTGCATTTGAGGTCCATAAACAAGTTGGATTTATTCTGAATCTTCCCTTTACCTTTGATTTAGATGTTATGTAAATTAGAGTGGGGGGGGGTGGAGGGGGGGGGGGAAGGAATGACCTCGAGTTACCAACCCCCATCAAAAAAGGTGGGGAGTGAAAACAATTTTCTTTTAAATGTAAAAGCAAAAAATTGGAGCTGCTGTAAGGAGCCGTCTTTATTAGAGTGTTCCCTTCTACTGCCAGTGGCAGAGGATCAAGATGTGAAGAATGGGGACACTGGCACATCCTGTCACTCACACTCCATTTATGATCCATCCATTTACCATTACTCAGCAAAAGGCAACTGGCCAAATCACTGTGGGTTAATGTTCAGCAGATGGGGAAAAAAGCAGCACAAGGCAGTATCAGATCACATGTCTTATCCTTTCCTTTTGTGGAGAATAGACCCAGATATCCTAAGCCACAGATCTACTTTTGGAAGCTCAGAAATGAACCTGGTTTCTGTTAGTGCTTAAATGTGTTCAGCCAGTTAAGTGTCTGAGGATCCAGAGTTTAAAAGTGAACACTGGAAGTTAAATATTTTATTATAAAGGGGAAAAAATCAAGATAACGTATCAGTTTGTTCTTACACTATGCAAACACAAATGTAGCTATTAGAACACAGAGTAATCCAACACAATTGTCAGAGCCCAAGGAGGAAAACACTCCTTACTATACAAACTCCAGCTCCCCCTCACCTCTAGCTATATTAATCAAGGGGCACCAAAACCCTTAAAGACATTACTGCCTAAATGATACACTGAAACTTGGACAGGAAGATACACTGCATGATAAAGCTGGACGGACACACAAACACACTTCATAAATTTTCCTGACCAACTTTTAAATACTGGGTTGTCGGGAAAGTCATGACGCATTTTTGCAACGAAAACCAGAAAAAATACGTCATGACTTTTCCACAACCCAATAGTATTGCTTTAGGGAGAAGATTTAATTTTTAAAAATAAGTTTAAAAAAGAAAGCACATTTAAAACATCAAGCTTTGGTGACCGGGATAGGTAAAGTTAATTTTATTACAAATTTAAAGATCTAAAAAGTAATTTGTTACATTTATTAAGATAAATCTGAGATGACCTGTATTAAGCACATATGTCTTGCATAGTGACACTGTGACCCTCAGGCATAAAAAGACACAGTCCCACCCTCCCTTTAGGGATGGGATCAGCCAGATGAAAGAAAATTATGCCGATTCTCAACTAGCACATACTAACTGATCATTTTGGTTTATCACTGGCATTTGGACAGTGAAGAGTTCAGCGAAGAAGGCTCTGTTTTTGAGCTCTGAAAGCCAAACTAGAATCTTGAGAGTAATAAAAAAATTCAAGCTTCTCGTCATACTTTTTATTTCAATGATATTTGGGAGACTTTCTGTATTTGATGAGTTATGATTCAACCAGTCTGTAAACCCAAGTATGAAAATCCAGTAAGTACTGCCTAGGTTGACCAGTAAGAAGACTGAGGCCAGCTAAGGAGGAAACACACCTGCCCAGGGCACAGACTGACCATCCAGCAACAGAGAGGCTGCCAGCCAGCTGCCGTACGTTCAACAGGGCAGCCACCCCAACAGCCAGGAGAGCGCAACAGATCATCTACACCACCCTCCTATTTCAATCGAGACGAAGCTCTCTAGCCAGTTACCTGCCATTACACGCAGGCAGGGAGCCTTAGGTTTCTTATTTTCTACTTATTTTTTTAAAGATTACTAAAGGCAGCATCTTTACAAGGTGAGGCTGTCAGAAGCATCAGGGACCTGACAGGTACAGAACAAGCACTCGCCCATGGAGCTGGGGAGGAACCTGTGGGTGAAGAGCAGGGCGGTACCTGAGCTGAGGCATGAGGGGAGAACACCTCACACTACAGGACCAAAATGGGGGGAAGAAAAGAGCCAAAGGAATGGCTACAAAACAGCACGTTCATCAGGAGAGATGGAATTCCAAGGGAAGGACCCAGACAGTAGCTGAGGAGCCCACAGCTAAGTCCTCTTGCCTGGAAATTTCTATCCAAGATTCTTTCAAGTTAAGCCTCTCCTTCTAAGCTATGGCTCTCAATGGAGGAACAATTTTACCCCAAGGGACATTTGGCAATGTTAGGAGATAGTTTTGGTTGTCATAACTGGGGGAGGGGTGCTACAGGTATTTACGGGGTGGAGGCCAGGGATGCCGCTTAACACCCTCCAGTGCCCCGGACGGTTCCTACAACAAGGACTTCTCAAGACGTCACTGATGCCAAGGCCAAGTCACCCTGCGCTAGAGGGAGTACTTACTCATAAGATCCTGAACACAACACAAGCCAAAGCCCTTGGAACTTAGACAAACATGAACACCCTCCACCTCAAGCCCTAGTATGTGGATCAATCCACTCCCTGCCTGTTGGGCAGAAATCCCCAATTATCCAGGAGTGTTCCACAAATGTCCAATCAGCTGCTGGCTGTTCAAACTCAGGCAATACAACTAATACCTTGTATCCTGTGTCCTCCTCTCTCTTCTGAAAAATCTATTTCTTTCTCAGAGCCAACGTCACCCCAACTGCCACTGCCAGAATGGCGACAGCGGCAGCCCCTCCAAACAACAGTATAGACTTGCCCCCCGACAGTGGGGTAGCCGTTGCTTCTCCAGCAGGGGAGACCCCTTCTGTAAGGCTCTCTTTCTTTATGCTAAGCTCCTCTTCACTCAGCAGTGTTTTTGTGGGTTCCAGCACACGGGTCACCTCCTCCTCTAAGTCAATAGGTTCGATTGTTGCTGCTTTCACCTCTTCTTCACCCAGTTCTACAAACAAAGATGTAGCCGGGCTGACTTTCTCAACTGCAATTATTTCTGTGCCAGGTTCCCTCATCTCCAGCAAGAACGTGGCAGTGGTGTGTGGAAGCAAGGGAGCTGAGGCTTCAGGGAACGCCTCTTGCAGCTCCCTGGTGGGCAAGGCTGCAGACACCACAGCAGCCTCCTCCATACCCTCAGGTATCTCTTCTCTCTCCACATGCACAATGTCAGAATTAGAAGAGTTGTTCTTGCTCTTCTCTCCAGCCCCATTGCTATCTAAGCTTTTGACTTCAGGATCCATTGTGATCTGCTGCCAGGACTCAGGACCGAGAGACACCGGTAGGCTTTCTGTGTGCCAGCTCTGGCTGGCTGACAGGGAAACAGGTAAGCTCTCTGACTGCCAAGAAGTGGTCACAGTTGGAGACTCTGGAAGACTGACTTGTCCAGAGTTGTCACTGGGCAGGATATAAATGTCATTGCTATCTTCTGCAACGATTCCAGGGAATTCTTCCTCCT